AAGTAACTTCGGTTTATTAATGCACGGTCGTGGTTAATGAACTTAAGAGGGATTAATTTTGTTGGTTAAACCGAAACCGTTGTGTTGAGGTTATCAATCTCAATTGATTTCATCAAGGAGTTAAAAGATTAAATGCTACTATCAAGTCGGTATATGGCGTTGTTCTATACTTGACTAATAGTAAGGGTTATTAATGAACGGTTGTTGTTAATAACTATCCTCGATGAATTGGATATACTCCTCGATTGAGTATTCGAGAGGAGATAAGTTATAGATATAACAAGGATCGACTAAAATATATCAACAAGTGGAAAGTAGCAATGCCAAGTCACTTTTATCTTTGAATTAAATCTCATATAACTCGTTCATCTTCGTTTTTAATTTAATTAAATCACTCAACAATCAAAACCCCCCTTTATTTATTATTTACATAAAAAGAAAGTTATTCCTTTCCCTGTGGATACGAACTCTACTACGCTATACTACGTATAAGTGTTAGTATTGAATTTATTTTGAGTGCACTCACGACAAAGTGCACGTCAGTTGGTGATAATAAATTAATAATGTGTGAATAAAGTATGTTAAGATTCAGAGTTCTATTCTAAAAGGTCAAACTTGATGGGAGGAGTAACTCAGATCTTAATATATCAATTTATTACCTTATAGATTTCTGGTGTAGTCCACATACCAATCTTATCGCATATTATCAATATCCCTTTCTTGATGATCATTAATTGTGATATTTTAAGATCTTATGTTATATATCATATAAGTTCATACTTACTTATTGACAACATAAGTCTAAGGGAACACAATTATGAATAAGACATTGATAATCGAAATGCTTAATCATCAATGTGTAATATCATATATATATCTCTAAAAAGTGATTGTCGCTAGAACACATATACTAACCATCTTCCACTTGGTCTAGTGTCAATCACCGATGCGTCTAACACCTAGATTTTCAAAAGTTTGGTGTGTTTCTCGTATCTCAAAGGTTTGGTGAAAGGCCCAACCAAATTGTCTGCTACGGGAGCACGTTCTAATGCAACCTATTCTCATGTTATTTGTTATCAAAACATGATAGCATACAAGTATTTTCTAGTTCCTTTCTTTGCATCTTGATTCATTAGCTTGTGCAAATACACCAGTATAGTCACAATAACAATTATGGGATAATTGTTGCTAGGAACTACCCTTATTTCTTTGAGGAACTCATGTAATTAAACGCTTACCTAAGCTGCAACAATTTACTAGGCATTAGTGTCGAATTTATAGTAGTCTCTTACTTGCAACTCTTTCAGCACTACTGTTCCATTGAGACTCAAAACGTATACTGATTGTGACTCATAATCTTCCTTATCATACATGAAGCTATTGTTAGAATAATTAAATTCTACAAGTTCTTTTTGTCCACATTATACAAAAAGATATTCATGAAGATTTTGGGTAACCATTCTTTCACGGACTTCATTGAGGGATATAATTCTCTATGATCAACATATATGATTATAAAGACCACGTTATCCTTGTTGCGCACTCTAAACAAGTAAGCACCCTCGTTTCTTCTAATGAAGATGAAGACAAAGGATTTGACTATTTGATAAAAAATTATAGGAAAAATTGAAAATAATAATCCCAACTATTGTCAGTCCACTGACAATAATCCCAACTATTGATTATTTTTGTATAATCCTAACTATATAGACTGTCCGCCAATAATGGTCCGTGACTAGATATTACCTCTATAAAAAAGTGAATTTTAAATAGAAAGTAAGCGTAAAAATTAAAAGTTGAGATTATTTATAGGGATTACTTGCTATATCTCATCCCATCCACTTTAGAAACTACAAGAATTTATTCATAGGGACCATTATTGGCGGAAGGTCCCTAAAGTTGGGATTATTCAGGAATAATCAATAGTTGGGATTATTATGAGCGGACCGCCAATAGTTGGGATTATTACAATCAATTTTTCCAAAATTATATTTCAACTCCTAAAGGCTTGCTCTAGCTCATAAATGAATTTCTTTAATTAACATACTGATTTAGAATTTGACTTGGATACAAAACCTTTAGGTTGTACCATGTACACCTCCTACTTGAGGTTTCCATTAAGGAAAGGGGTTTTGACCATACTTAGTTAAATACGGTACGAGAATTAAACATGGTTTAATACGTACGTGTTTTATTCGGTAACTTGAACTAAAAATACGGTAAAAAATTCGGCAAAAAATACATTGACTTTTAAAAATCGTTTAAATACGTAAACGTGTATAATACGACATCTCTTAGAAAAATCCGGTTTAAAAATACGGGTCTTATTTTGAATGATTAAATTATTGTACTGGCCTTAGAGCATAAAAACACATGATACACACACATTCAAATAGAATATCTCATTACTCCATCAAAAAATGCATTCATAATAGCATAAGTTCATGACAAAAAAGAAATACTCCCTCCGTCCCAATTTGATGATCCTGTATTTCCTTTCTGGGCCGTCCCAAATTGATAGTCTCATTTCCCTTTTTGGAAAGAAATATGTGGTCCACGTCATTTCACCTTTTTTATCCTCAAATCTCAACCACAATTTTTACCTTTTCAACCACTTTCTTAATATTTGAGCCCAAAAGAAATGGGATCATCAAATTGGGACGAAGGGAGTAATGATTAAGTCCAAAATAAAATTTAAATTATATACTTCATAAAATAACATGTAATAAAAAGAAATAAGAGTGTACACTTTTATTGAAGTAGTAGCAAATCACATTAATACATAAAAGAATAATCCGTAATTGCATAAGTCTAAGACTTAATTTTGCAAAGTAAAGTCAGAAAATAAGGCATAATAATGATAGAATGAGACCAAATTAACATCATCATCATCTTTATATGATCATCAAATAACACTCAAGGTAAATTCATCATTTTCACCCAAATGACGGATGACGTATGAGAAAGTTATGTGATTGCTACAGTTAATTATTATTGTATATGTGTAAAAGTTTATACTAAAAAATGTCAAGTTTAGAAAAATCTTAATTTTGATATGCTTGTTTGGAAAAGAACATCACAGATCTAATAAGTAGTACATAGTAGTGTTTTAGGTTTTAGCCTTTTAGAATGCTAGCTTTAGTCATCATGCAATTGATTTCGGTATTTAACAAGTGTAACAATACAAAAAAACGGGATCACGGGGATGAACTTTTCTTTTTTGCTTTTAAACTATTGTTGATCTACTATTCATTTGATGTATTCATTCAAGTGATCACATCATGTTTCTATATTTTTTTTTTTTGCAAAATACGGGAAATATACGTTTTATACGGGAAATGAGAGTTTTTTTTCTTTTTAAACGGACCGACATTATTTTTCGTTTTAAACGCGTTTTTTTTGTTAAAAAAATGGTACGTGTTTAAAACGCGTTTTAAACGTCACAAAGCTAACTAGGGTTTTGACATCCATTTGTCAAATCTCATAATCATAGTATGCAGCTATCACAAGCAAAATACAATGAACTTAAGTTTTGCAATTGGCGAATATGTATCATTATAGTCAATTCATTCTCTTTGACTATAACCTTTAGCCACTAGCCCAGCTTTGTATGTTTGCACCTTGCCTCCAGCATCAATTTTTTCTTGAAAATCCATTTGCATCCAATATATGGGTCTAATCCCAATAGGCAAGTCAACCAAGTTCCATACTTGACTGATACACATCGAGTCCATTTCAGATATTCATGGCTTCTCGCACCTCTCAAAATCAACATCTAAAATTGCTTCAATGTAGGTCTTAGATTCATCCTTGTGAGGAATTTCAACATCATCATGATCCTCCATGAGGTAGACAAACCTAGTTAATTCATGACATATCGTAGTAGACCTACAGAGTTGAATATTTTACGTTTGTTCAGACTGTTCATTCTAATTGTGAAGAGGATCTCCTTCATTAAACTGTTCAATGCTCGAGTAGTTTTTGTAACATCATCCCCAAGTATATTTACTTCTAAGTAAATTATGTGTTGAACCTTGAAGAATGATTATTGAATCTACGAGGTTGTAAATTTTTATTCTTTATTTTGCATGATTGGTAAAATGCATGTGGGGCCCACACCGGGAGAGCGGACCGTCCGATATTTCTGAGACCCCATATTATATTCATCCTGGTATAGATAATATATATATATATATATATATATATATACACACACATATATCACATATATATGTTTTGGTTCAAATAAGAACATGATCTTAGGAGAGAAATAAGAACGAATCTGGACCATTGGATTTGCTTTATGTGATATTTGATGTGCATTAGATGAAACTGTAATGTGTATTAGGTGAAACTGAAATGTGCAGCACAAAAGATACGATAAAGTGACATTATGTGAAGCAGAATTGTGCATTAGATGAATTTGAAATGTGCATTAGGTGAAACCAAAATGTGCAGAATAAAAGATACGATGTGATGTTATTTTTGTACCTTTTATTATGCACATTTCAGTTTCACCAGATGCACAATTCAGTCTCACATAATTCAATCCAACAGTCCAGATTCGTTTTCATTTCTCTCCTAAGATCCGTTCTTACCGGAACCGCTCCCTATCACGGGTCGAGTCCAAAACGGGCTGGAACTTAAAAACCATATCAGATCCATACTTAAAAAATATTACTTTGTACTACATATAAATTGATTATCCAAAAATTATTACGGAGTACTACATATAAATTGATTATCCAAAAATTATCAAAACTACAAAGTTCTAAATAGGCGTAGAGGATATAGACCCGACCCATTTTATAAGATAATTAGATTAGGCACATTTTATTTTTCTGCCCCGAGGCCCGACCCATACCCTCAAATAAAATGCCAGATTCTGATCATGTTCGGGTCTAAACCCGACCCATTGAGAGGCCTCGTTGTGGGTCACGTGCATCCGAAATAAATACTCCCTACTTGTATAGTTGTATATACGGAGTCTGAGAGTATCGGTTTATTTATCCAAATTTTGGTTTGACGAAATATATTTGGAAAAGGTTTGAGATTGTTAAATTAGGAAACACTGAACAAAATGGGATTTTAGGAAATTAGGAAACACTAAACACTGCTCTCTCCATATAATGGCCAATCAAATATTTGAACTGCAAATAATTGAAGAGATCAGAATGGCCACCATGAGAGCTTCTCCGCTTCCTAACTCCTCCGCACTCCGCATAACCCGTGCGCCGAACCTCTCGGCCGCCGCCGCCCCATATTTTCCGGCCAGATGGAGGTCCGGGTCCTCTGGGATTGAGACGACTACTGATGCCCAGCAGCAGGATACTCTGTTTTTGGACGGCCTTCAGCTTCCCACTACTTTTGAGGATGTGCCATCTTTTCCGGCTGAAAGGAGGTCAGAGCTACCGCCGCCGCAGCGGCAAGATCCTCCTTTTCTTGATGGCGGCCTGATTCGTAATGGTCCTGATGCACCACACTTCCCGGACGCCGCTGCTCCATGTTTCCCGGCCGGAGGGAGGTCTGGGATTGAGACAGCTTTTGCTCCGCGGGATAGGAGGCCACAATTGCCGCCGCCGCGCCGCCAACGTCAGTATGATCTGTTTGTGGACGGCGTTCTGGTTTCCACCGGCTTTGTGGATCCGCCATCTTTTCCGGCCGCCGTTTCCCCATCAAGAACGAATAGAGAGCCTGAAGCTTGCCGTGTGTGTTTGGACGACGTAATTCCCCACAATATCGAAACTAATTGCATTGTCAAATGGGTGCGGAGAAACAGGTGTCTTTTGTGCAGGGCAGCACCCATAATTGATTGAAACAAAAAATTAAAAAGTCAATTGGGTTAGGAGATTTTTATTTGTGGATTTGCTGAATTTCTCCTCTACGGCTATTAAGAACTTTGTAGTTTTGATAAGATTGGTACTTGTAATAATTTTTAGATAATCGATTTGTATGTAGTAATGTTTTTTAAGTATGATTGATCTTGATTACTTATTTCAAGTTTGCAAGTATTAGTTTAATCAGGTGAAATCAATTTTAGATGTTTGGCTAAACATTGTTTTCCAATTTCAATAAGTCAAGTTTCTATATTTGGTCTAACGCTTTTCTAATCCCAAAAAGATCAAAAAGAGTAAGTTTAGAACTCAATTAGTTGGTACTAGGGTTCAAACAAAGACATCTTGTATTGTAAAAGTACTAGACAGGCTTAACGCATGACCAAGTATATCAAAACACTTATCATGTCCCTATTTAAATTTGAAATGGAATTTAGATATATTGATGCAAGTGTATAACCTTTGTTAGTTTGGTATAGACTACGGAGTAATCAATTTTTAAATTTGTTGAAACTATTGATTCAAAATGAGAACAATTTACATATTCAACCAAATTTTGTTGTCAATCTCAGTAAACCAATATTAGATACTTCCTCTGTCCCATTAGACTTTGCCAACTTTCCTTTTTTACTTGTCTCAAAAAATTTTGTCACATTCCTATTAAAGCAACTAATTTGTGGTTCTTCATATTTCTTTCTCCTATACACAAATTTCAACCACACAGTTTTTACTATTCTTATTTCTCATCTAACTTGCATTTGGCAAAGTCTACCGGGACGGAGGTAGTATTAGATATCGCTGTAAAGTAAAATAAATCAAACCGGTTTATATGGTAATGGAAGTTCTCACCTCCGCCATAGGTCATCTGCATTCTCGTCCGCCACTTTAGAATTCACCGTCATCATCATGTCTCTCTCTTCTTCATGTCGTCATTCTTCTTCTATTCTTTCTTTTGTGCGTGATTGGGATACGAATCGGCGACAAGGACTACGGAGAAGAAACTTTGGTAGCTCTCACCTCCACTGCAGGTCACATGTTTGGCAGCAGGTGACCATTAGAGACGAGCGACGAGGACGACGAAGGATATGACGATTGGCGATGACAACCCAGATCCAGAGCGGCGGCAGGTAGGGTTTGAGCAATAGGGGGTTGCGAAAGGTGCTGAGGATGGGTGTTGGGGTAGGGAGGGAGGGCACATGTCTGGGGGCGGCCGTCACTGAGACTGGGTGGTGGTCGGGGCGGTGGTGGTGGTTGGGGCATTCGTGATCAGGCGGGTAGTCACCGCCCTGGCGGTGGAGGTCACTGGCCGGATTGACCACGGGTCGGATTGGTCATGGTCACTGATCTTGTTGGTCACTTATCGGATTGGTCATGGTCACTGATCGAGTTGGTCATGGTCGGATCGATCATGGTCAGCGGATGGGTTGGTCATTGGTCTGATTGGTCAATGTCACTGGTCGAGTTGGTCATTGATTTGATTGGTCATTGGTTGAACACTGATCTGATTGGTCATGGTCGCTAATCGGGTTGGTCACTGATCGGGTTGGTCATGATCATTGGTCATATTGAACACTAGTTGGATTGGTCATTGGTGCATTTGGTAATTGTCACTCGTAGAAGTTTAGTCTCCTTTTTGAAACTTTTTGAAAGTAGACCTATTTTTGTCAATGAAATTTGTCTTAGTGTTATTTTTGAAAAAATCCTGGAGATTTTACCATTCAACTGTTGTAATCAATGACTCAATGTGGTAACTTATCAAAGTTGTAACATATTATGATCATTGTATTGTTAAAAACTTAGAATTGTTGTTATATACTTTTAAATATAAATGCTCTTTGTGAGTTGTGTAAAAATATAGACCATTAATATCAACTTTGCCTGAAAATTAGTCACTGATATTGCAAGTGCCTTAATTTACTCCGTATCGAGTAGGGATGGACCGGTTCCGGGCCGGGCCCGGTTCGGGCCTTGAATCGGCCGGGCCTCGGTTCAAGGAATGGGAGGCCCGGAACCGGCCCGGGTAAACCCGGGTCCGGTTCGGGGCGGACCCGGGTAAACCCGGTTCCGGTTCGGGCCGGGCCCGGTTCGGTCCTATATATATATATATATATATATATATATATATAGATATATATATATATATATATATATATATATATATATATATATATATATATATCTGGGTTTTCCTAATCAACCCCCTACCCTCCCCCTCAACCCCAAACCACCTCAAATGGCCCAAAATACCCAATCCAACCCAAAAACTTAAAAAAATTAAAAAAAAATAAATCCGGCCCGAACCGGCCGGGTTGGTTCACCAAAATGAAGGCCCGGGCCCGGAACCGGTAGCCACCGGGCCGGGCCGACTCGAACCGCCAATGGGCCGGGCCGGTTCCGGGGGCGGGCCGCCCGGCCCGAGTCCATCCCTAGTATCGAGTACTTGTTCAATTAGGAAGTGTAAAAGGGTACATGCACAAAATAGTCACATATATACTTACGAATTAAATAAAATAGAGTGAATTATCTAAATATGACAAAAAAAAGTGACAAGGAACACAAGTAGACTACATCTTTTAACCTCCCCAAACACTATTTATGTATGTTTGGATATAAATATACTCTTGTAACTTTTGAAATGTCTTAATTAATAATGAAATCATAAAAAAATAATTTAGGAATCGTAAATAATAATAAAAAATTATAAAATATTTGTAAAATTAAAAATTAAAAATATAAATTTTAAAAACACCTAATGAATTAACCGGCTCCCATAACCGGTTCGAAATCTGCTAACATTTTTAGTAATGAAATAATGATGGCAGATTCAATGAAAATTTTGACATTATGAAAACTAATAATGCCATTTTCTTGGCATTTTCAGAAGAGAATGACATTTTTTACAAAAAATGACAGAATTTTTAATGACAAGAGGTGGTGGTACTGGTGGTGCTGGGAGGCTGTGGGAAAGATATCCATATTTTTTGTTTTCTATGGGGTTTTACTAATTTTTTATTAATTTTTTGAAAAAAAAAATCAGAAAATATATATTTTTAAATTTTTATTTTATAAATATTTTTATTAATTTATTATTATTTTTTACGAGTTATTTCTATTTTTTTCGATTTTTTATCATTTCTTATGATTTTGTTTAAATTAAAATATTTCATTATGAATTATAATATCCTTAGGGGTATTAGTTTTTCTTAAAGCACTTAGGGGTATTAGGTTAGAAATCATTTCATAATAAAATCATTTTTTATGATTTTATTTTAGGATGTTTTCTTTTGGACTGAAATTTGCTGATCTGGTCCAGTCTGGTAAATGTCTGGTTTTTGTGTATTTTATAACTACGGAAGTCAAGTCTGGTCTGAGACTGAAAAAAGTATAAAAGAAAACATCTTTACTCGGAGCTAATTCAAAAAGTAGTGGTCTTAGGTAAACTTTCGTCTGCTTGAGCATAATTTCTAAATAAAATACGGAGTATTTGGATTGCAATTTACAAAGGGGTTGACGACGAAATAGAATTGGAAAAAGTTTGGGATAATTAAAATTAGGAAACACTAAATAAAATGGGATTCGAGTAAACCAATCTTAATACCTCTCTATATAATACAGCATCCATGTGGCCAATACTTCATAAACTGCAAATAATTCAGAATGGCTACCGCTACAGCTACCACGAGAGCTTCTCCGCTTCCTAACGCCTCCGCACTCCGCATAACCCGTGCGCCGCCCCTCTCGGCCGCCGCTGCCCCATATTTCCCGGCCGGATGGAGGTCTGGGATTGAGAGAGCTTATGCCCCACGGGATAGGAGGCCACAATTGCCCCCGCCGCGCCGCCAACGTCAGTATGATTTGTTTGTGGACGGCGTCCTGGTTTCCTCCGGCTTTGTGGATCCGCCATCTTTCCCGGCCGCCGTTTCCCCATCAAGAACGAATAGAGCGCCTGAAGCTTGTCGCGTGTGTTTGGACGACGTAATTCCCCACAATATCGAAGCTAAATGCATTGTCAAATGGCTGCAGAGAAATAGGTGTCCTTTTTGCAGGACAGCACCCATAATTGATTGAAACAAAAAAAAGTCGATTGTGTTAGGAGATTTTTAATTATTTGTGGATTTTTTTTAAATATCTCCTCTCTAAATCTTCTACGGCTATTTAGAACTTTGTAGTTTTGATAAGATTGGTACTTGTAACAATTTTAGACAATCAATTTATATGTAGTAATTTTTTTTACTATGATTGATCTTGTTTACTTATTTCAAGTTTGCAAGTATTAGTTTAATCAGGTGAAATCAATTTTAGATTGGCCAAACATTGTTTCCCAATTTCAATAAGTCATGCTTAGATATTTGGTCTCACTCTTTTCTAATCTCAAAAGGACTAAATTTAGAATTCAATTAGTTGGTAGTATTGGGGTTCAAACTTCAAACAAAGACATACTCCATATTGTATTGTAAAAGTATCGGATGATCAAGTATTAAAACCTTTTTTGAAAGGGAGTATTAATTGAGGATGTTTTTACTTGAACTGAAATTTGATGATCTGAACTGATCTGGTAAATATCTAATCTCTATGTATTTTATAACCATGAAAGTCTAGTCTAATTTGGTCTGGTGTAAATTGGTCTAATCTGTTTAAGTCTGGTTTGACACTGAAAACAATCCAAGTAAAACAAATGTCTAATCTCTATGTATATTATAACCATGAAAGTCTAGTCTAATTTGGTCTGGTGTAAATTGGTCTAATCTGTTTAAGTATGGTTTGAGACTGAAAACAATCCAAGTAAAACATCCTGAGTAGGTTATGAAACACGGCCTTCTCTAGTATTATGGGTGGACCGGTTCCGGTTCGGGCCTGGTTCAGGCCTGGGCCCGGCCGGGCCTCGGTTCAGAAATGGGAGGCCCAGAACCGGCCCGGGTAATCCCGGGTCCGGGCCTCGGTTCTATTTTTTTTTGGCTTTTCCTAATTAACCCCCAACCCTCCCCCCTCACCCCCAAACCACCCCAAACCACCTCAAATGGCCCAAAATACCAAGCCCAACTCAAAAACTTAAAAGAAATTCAAAAAAAAAAAAAAAAAATTGGCCCGAACCGAGCCCAAACCGGCCGGGCCGGTTCACCAATCATAGGGCCCGGGCCCGAACCGCACAGTAACCGGGCCGGGCCGACCCGAACCGCCCCCGGACCGGTTCCCAGCCCGGGCCGGTTCAAACAGTAACCGGGCCGGGCCGGTTCAAACAGTAACTAGGCCGGGCCGCCCGGCCCAAGTCCATCCCTATCTAGTATGGTATCAATTGTCATGTCCCTATTTAAATTTTAAGGGGAATTTTAGATATTTTGATTCAATTTTTAACTTTGTTGAAACTTTTGACTCAATAATGAGAATTGAGAAATCAATTTAGATATTTAACCAAATTTGTTGTCAATTTCAACAGACCAATTTTAGATATCACTCCAAAGGAAAATAACTCAAATTGGTTGATATATGGTAATGGAAGTTGGAACAAAACATCTTGTATTACAAACGGACAGAGATGCTGGTATATGCATTTGCAAAAGAGGCCAGATAAAGTAGATTAATAATAGGGAGAACGTTGAAGTAGGGTGCTCCTAAATACAAATAGGAACACAAATTTTTATTTACAGATCTTTTACAAGGAAAACAAATCAGACTACTGTAACAAGTTGAGCAGAAGCTGCAGAACAAGCAGAAATCCATGACCGCACACACTCTTGCCGAAGAAAACCAGTTACTCTTCCAAATGGAATACCACCTTATTCTCCTCGGTGAAGTTATGTGTTGTGTGATCAACAACCTGTGTAATAACGGATAAGTGGCGTTAATTTAACTCGTGGAGCATATATAAGAAAAACACATGCGATTTCAAGACCACATTGAAACATTTCCTTGCATTATTTAAAAGGGTCAATTGAGTACATCAACTTGTATCATATGGAGTAAAGAGTGCACTATATTGCATTTGATCTTTATAAGTACAGAAATTCGGGTTTTTAGTGTTAATTGAGTTCATCTGTTAGATTAACGTGTTAATACGGCTGAGTTGGCTTACAAATTGCTAATATGTCGACTTCTTCACATTCTCTCTGCTAATCTTAATATATAAATAACAAAAACACTAATTTCAAATGGATTACTTCCAATAAAAAACAATAGCCAATCATAGTAGTAGAAGGGAAAGATTATGGTATTAAGAGTGGGTTGAGGGATGGCAGATAGGGGATGTTAGTGAAAGATAAAAATAGAAGAGATTATTAATGACATGAGTTGAAACTTGAAGGTTTAGTAAAGGAAATGAAGGATAGAATTACAAACAGCTAATATATTCTCAATCATATTTGGATTGCAAAATAAATGGAAGGGTTATGATTTTGGGAGGGTGTCAATGGTGTCAACTCCTCTCCTATTCAACACCAATTTGTAAAGGGTCAGATTTAACTATTTAAGGGACCCTCCATCTATTTACTACCTAGACACAAACAAACCAGTGTTCTCCCTCCTTTACTCATTCCCCATGAATCAAACAAACCGTAAAAGATGATAAACATTACCACACTCTAAGTGACTAGCTTTAATGTGGTTACAGTGGTTAGCTCATATGTACGACTCATCACAGTTCTGAATTCTATCAATGAGTAAAGAAAGATTGTAATAAGGCAACTTAAGAGACCTTACATTTGTATTGCTCAGTTCCAGATTGTAGAAGTCCATCATATCATCTGTGAACAACGGTCCAGCATGCCATGTACCTATATTTAGCTTTATAAACTTTGACCCTGTGATTCTAAATGCATGCACTTCATCAACGGCAGGAGGCACATAGAAATGCCCACAGTCTGATCGCCGCACATTATTAGCAACAACGGTGCTGCCGCTTGGATCTACTACAGATGGCTTAGCAACTCCAAGATACCAAACACGTCCTCCGACTGATCCGAGACACTGTGTTACATTGGCATGGTGTGTGATGGTTGAAAATTTCAGTGACCGGTCTTTTAGCTGCATTATGTAAAACCTGAAAAAGGCCGCATCAGTTAGCACCTCATTAGATTGATGGACCGTATAAGTGGATAACTAAACGATAATGGATTATGCATTTGTGGAAAACATAGACACGGGAAAAGAAAAGTCAAGATTCTGATGCTCCTCCTCTTCTAAACCATAATCCTCTTTTGCTTCCATAGTGACGTGGTCAATACCTTAAAAACAAATACTAATGTTAAATCAGGCTAGGAATGAAGTGAATAGAAAGTTGAGTGTCTTGCGAGCTTGTTGTTTAGCAGTTTCTACTTCAGAACTTGACGCTTCCAAATTCCAATCCATTGTCCAGTTGTTAAAAACAATAAAGCAATGTGTCCTATTACTCTCCCGCTTATTATCCATTTAATCTCCCTTCACTTCAGCTAATTTATACGGGATTTGCCTGCAAAAACGAGTTTGTTTGGTGGTTTTCACTTTTTCAATCAAACCCTACTTTATTTCACAAAATGGGCTGAATTGTACTGTTTTTGTTCGGAAGTTAAAGAAAATAACATTTTCAACTTTATTTTCTTATAATATTTTCTTTATTGTATTGGGAAAATATGTTTTAATACTATCCCCATATGCAGCAAGTTCTTTATCTATTTCAGATAAATTCACCTTCCCAAACAGGCTCTGTGAATCTTCTTAAACTAAAAATACAGTATCACCCTGTATTTGAATTAAGAGAATGTGTGAGAATCAAACTTCTTTTTTCCTGTCTGTCTGTGGTGCTGTTCAACTTCACACATTAATTCCTGATATGAATTAAGAGAATGTGTAAGAATCAAACTTCTTTTTTCCAAACAAAAAAAAGAATATAAAATAGAACCAAAAGTCATCAGACAAGCAACCTTCTAACATGTAACAACAAAATGAAAAAAAAAACAGAGAGAAATTTAACTGGTGAATTGAGGGCAACTAATCAATAATCCTACCTTTACGTAATCCAAAACTAATCCCACCTTTCTTTTATTGGATCCTGACCTATTGATGACGGGATTATTCTAGGATTACATTAAGGTGGGATTATTATGAAAAAAACAGTGAAAGATGGGATTATTCTTATCAATTTTTCTTAGCTAAAATGACTCCAGCCAATACTGTCAGAAAAGTATTCCCAACCTCACTTTTTCTTATTACTCGGATATTGCACAATTCAGCGCGTGAAAACAAAAGTTACGTGTGGTGAAAAACAGTATGAATTAAATGAATGTTTAAGCCGAAAAACAGTAATACGAAACGACCTCTAATTTTTTGTATGAATTAAGAGAATGTTTAAGAATCAAACTTCCTTTGTCCAAACAAAAAGGAATATGCAATAGAACCAAATTCATCACACAAGCAACCTTCTAACAACAAAATCAAAAAGAGAGAAATTTTACTGGTAAATTAAGGGCAAGTGGGAAACTAATCAAGCGAGTGATGCTGGGACTTGGGAGGAATGGAATAACCTAGGAACGCCGCGGCTGAGGTCGAGTTGAGCATCGTGGGGACCGAACTCTTCGCCGTCAGGCGCCGCCTCAATCACTTGCCCGAACTCTCGGAAGGTCTCCGGTGTAGCTTCTATGGGTTTCAGCCTCCACACGGTCGGAGGTCTGGTTTCGGAAGAGGGATCCATTTTCACAGCTCACTACTGGGCTACTAGCAATGGAAGAGAAAGGTTGCTGATACGAGGAGAGCGGACCTGATTGCCTCGTTTGGGCCTGGCTAAGCCCAATCGGCCCTTGGCTGATTTTTCTTTAATCAGCCTTGGTCAAATGACGTCGTTCGTCGTCCCTCACTCTCAAACGACCTTCATAGTTCATCCTCGCCGGCGAACTCGACCGGCCCCCGACGGCATAACCCTTTCTGGATTCATATATCTGTCGGCTATCTCGCACCGCTGAAGCAGGGCAACCTCTCTTTGACCATCTTCTCTCACTCAGTCATCGTTGTCTTCCATGGAAGTACCCGCCGCTATGCCGCTTCCGACTACTCCCCCAATTCACTGGTCTCTGTCTTCCTTCTTAACCGCTCCTTTAAGAGCATCTCATCCTACTCCGTTATCCGTGTCACGAAATACTCTCAGCGCCCCGGTTTGTCCCACCGTCCGGCTCCCTACTCTCCGCATTTCTGCTGCTTTGTCACTGAGCACGGAAGTTACCGAGAAAGATTCTCCGGCAGCGTTTCTAGATCGTAAAGAAAGTGGACATCTTCACTTCGTCAAGTATCATGGCCTCGGCAACGATTTCATATTGGTAATATGAATAAGTTATCTTTTCTTATAGGCTTGTTTTTGTGTAGTGCTTTAAAGTTTGAAGGACAGGGCTTTTTTCTCAAACGGCTATAGTTCAAGCTTTATTTCAAACCTTATTACCTAAATCACAGGTTTTGAAGTTCGAATATTTATTTGAGCTTAGCTTGAACATTGCAGTATTCACATGGTAGTATTGGGTTCGAGGCTATCTAGCACCTATATAAATTAAATGCAAATTTACTTGCAGGTTTGAGCAGTTACAGAATCATTTGAACTAACCAATTAAATAGCATAAGCTAAACAGCTATGGTGGAGCATATTTATCTAATTTATAGAGCATTGGAATAGAACACTAGTTGGAAAGAACACTAATGGAGTCAAACCTGAGCCACATGTATAAGGCTCATCGAGCTTCAAGCTCGAACCTGAACACAACTATACCATTACTGAGTCGAGCCGATCTCAAGCTGGGGTTATTCTGGCTCGGATCGGTTTTTTAACACCCCTATTTTTGTGTGTGGTACACTACTACAGAGTTTCTCTGTGCTAATATTTCCACCAATGCTCCTTATTCTTGTGATAAGTGGAGTATTTGAATGCCTATAGGTATATGCTGAATTGCTGATTTTCTGTATTAGCTCATATGGAAACAATCTTTTGAATTCTCTAGCAGTTGTAGGGTTGTACCTCGTAGTCCTTTCTGGTTAGATAAAAAAAATAACTAAAAGAGAGGGAAAATAGCTAAAAGCAGCTTTTCCCAGTTTCAATTGTTCACCACATACCTCAGGAGAAATAAAGACCCCAAATTGTTTTGGTTTCTAGTTCACCATTTCACAATTTGAAAATACTTTTACTTGTGACACAGATTAATCAACCCCTTGATCTAGTACAGAAATCATATCCTATATCTATTTTGTATATGTGAACTTCATTGAGCGATTAAGTCAATCCATAGCCATCAAAGTCTAGATCATTCATATCCTATGTCTATCTTTTACTTGGGATAATAATTTACAATTTTTCAAGAAAATGTGCTTTACCATATAGCCATTTATCTCCACAAACCATCTCTTTAGAAGAGGTGTCAAAGTAAAAACAATACTAGGACTTGAGAAACATTCTTACAGGAAGATATTTCTTATTTTGTAGTTCAATAATTGATTCGTGACCAATAAATTATATTATTGCCACATCGTAAAATGGAAAACAGTCACAGTGAATGTAACTTGATCCTTTCATCCAAGCAACAGACAAGGAAACCGATGTGTGACTTTCATATATATTGCTAATAAAGAACTGCACGGTTAGCAATGTTACTTGAGCTGAGTGTTTGTTTGCAGGTTGATAATAGAGATTCAGCAAAACCTAAAATCACTCCCGAGCAAGCTGTGAAACTTTGTGATAGAAATTTCGGCATTGGTGCTGATGGTGTGATTTTTACAATGCCTGGTACCAATGGGACTGATTATACCATGAGGATATTCAATTCTGATGGTAGTGAGCCTGAGGTAATGTGTGTAATCCTTATTCTGAGATATCAGTTCATAGGGTATCAAGATAGGAAGTAGGAACTCCAAATTCGTAACAGTAAATTGATCACTATTATTGAGGTAAAGTGCAGAAACGAAGAAGATACAGACGAGGCAATTTGGGAGGCCTCACTCTCCCAGGTCTTAATTTCCAAATCCAAAATCTGCCTACCCCTTGTTCCACTCCCAACCCCTATTTATAATCATTCCCTTATGTGCCGGCCCAAAGCTAACTAGTACATGGCCCAAAACCCTTATTTATGCAATATCACACTACTTAGTATAATCTATTATTATTGTTATTGTTATTGTTATTGTTGTTGTTGTTGTTCTTGTTGTTATTATTATTATTATTATTATTATTATTATTATTATTATTATTATTATTATTATTATTGGCTGTCCAAGTCCCTATCATATCTTCCCCTTGAACAACCACCTTGTCCTCAAGGTGGGTGATAGGAAACAGCCCTGACCATCATCACCATCTTCTGAACCTTTAAACCTTTAGTTTCGGTTGTCACTTCCTTCACCTCTGGACTCCCACATAGGGCATCAAAATCTCCAGCTATGTCGTTCTGCTCAGCCCATTTTTCCGCTGCTGGTTGGTTTGGTTTAGTAACTGCTACCAGAATTTTCGCCAAACTACTCCCAAGATCTGCATCGATAACAGCAATGACGCTGTCCAATGAAAGAATGTCATCTTCTGCCACATTTTGGGTACACACAACAACATCCAACCAATCAACTTCCACTGAAAGACTCCACCAACACCTCTCTGCAACTTCACGTTCCCAAGTCATAGAGTTAACTTTCACTTGCTTTCTTGGAAGAGAGAGTGGGAAACCGCGGACTAGCTTCAAGATGGAACAATCTTTGCTAGTGCCATGCCAAACAGAGATAAGACAACAGCTTGTTGTAGAGAATGCAGGAGCAACCTTTTCAGTCCCAAGCCCCATCATTAATATGGTAGTTACCCATAGGGGTTAAACATGAACCCCACCACACGAAAAGGAAACTGCAATTTCACCTCAATGAGCAGAATAAACAATCCAGTTAAGGGTTCCAACATCCCTTGAAAGATCAAAAGAATCAAATGTGAATCTCTTTGTCATCTCAATAGCAAGGTCAGAAACAATTTGCATCAGGCATTGATATACTACCAGCCACACTGTTTCCTACCCCACTCAATATTCCTGGCAATGATGGAGAAAGCCTCAACATCTTAACAACTTCAGCCTGTCTTTCCTGAAGTATGCTCGCCTTTTTTTGCTATTGCGTCCTCCTGAGAAATGCCACTGATGGCTTCAACAAGTTCACGTTTGACAGTATCATTGCCCGTCCAAACCGTCCCTTGTGCAACCTCTTCCATTTTGTCTCCATTCATTGATCTAAAAAATGAGGCCTCATCTCGGAACCGTCATATGCGTTCTGTGCAGATTCCTGAAATAATTCTGCTTCACCAGACCTGAATAGTCGCTGATCAGCACCAGTAAGCTCTGCAAATCTAACTCTCGATAATGTTTTCGTTAAAGTCCATCGTATCATCCAAACTCTTAAGGTTAAACATTCCTGCTACCACTCCAATCGAGCCAGTGGATGTAAGGTTTTCTGTCACTATATCCTTTGCGCCCTTGGTTCAATAGTATCCACTAGGGCTGTTAACGAGACGAGCCGAGCCCGAACACCCAAAGCTCGAGTTCGGCTCGATAAGGAATTAGTGGAGCTCGAGCTCGAGCTCGAAGCTCGAAGCTCGAAGCTCGACGAGCTTTACAAATGAGGCTCGTGTTCGGCTCGATAGACGTTCGATGTTCGAATCGAGCGCTCGATAAGCTCGTTAAATATGCCCGACTTTAAAATTTTAGGTGATGCTCGTTAATAGGCTCGTGCTCGAATGATTCGACAGGTATTCGGTTCGTTAATAATCATATTGAAATTCATAAAATCATACTAATTATATTTAAATTTTGAAATATATATAAATTATATTTATAATTTCGAGCTCGGTTCGATTAATTTTTTCGAACTTAAAACTCAGCTCGGGTTCGAGTTCGAGAGCTTGTTAAGCTCGGCTCGTTAGGTTCGAAACCGAGCTCGAACTCGAATAGTTCGATAAAAGCTCGGTTCGTTAACAGCCCTAGTATCCACCGCTAACTGGCACATCAGCCATAGATGCAATTACAAGTTTAGTATCTGCCAAAAGTCTGATTTCCCTCCGCATGAAGTCAGTTGCAAGTGCATCACCCCCAGGGCTATCAATTCGAATGACAAAATCCTGGTACTGCTTTGATTTTATAGCACAACAAGAATTTTCACTGATCTGCTCCGCTATAATGCATGAACTAAGCACACTAAAAGGGGAACAGACGCGACTAATTCTTCCAGATGCCTGCATTAGAGCAATCTGATCTTGATAGCCTGCAATGCCCAGAGTCCGTGTCTTGACCCCTGCGTATTTCCTATAATCCACCGTAGGAAGATTCTTATCCATTGGATTTCCCAACCGCTCTTTCAACTTAGACAAAACCTCCTCGTCAAACTTTATACCCGTTATCCAGCCATCTTTTAGCCTCTGAACTTGATAGACTCCTTCATAAATACCATTTTCAACGTCCTCTCCTTTTTGTTCTTTTGTGATAGAGACTTTATCAAGCCAATTTTCATAGATGTTATCTCACAGGTTTTTTCTGGTATGCTTTTGGGTATTAACTGATCACCATCACACTTGTATGTACCAATCCTCTCAACTTGTGGCTCAATCCCAACGTTTTCCAGGACACCTCCCAGGAATGATGATTGAACAGACCATATAAAGTAAAATAAGCACTTGGAGTGTCATAAAGCTCCCCGCCAGTGTTAGTTATCCAGTTGAGTCTCTCTACCCCAGTTTGTTTTTTGTTCCTATCTCCTTTATCTTTCCATCCCCTCTTGTCCTCATCTTACTTTCCTCTCCCTCTCAGAGAGCCAATAGCTCGTCTACGATCCTGTGGAACTTCAGCCACCACACACTCTGCATTTTCTCCAGTTTTGCTAAAGCCACCAGAAACACCAGCAGACTGAGGCGTTGACTCAGACAATCCCCCATAAGTGTCCTTGCGATTGCGTAGAGATAGCCCTGTTTTTCTCTTGGCTCAGACATATCCCAAGTTCATGGACAGCTTACTTTGGCTGAATGTCGTCAGCGAGATGAAGGATTCTCCACTTGATCGCGTCGTAATTTGAGGCGAACTGATAGCTGATGGGGAATCCTGCGAACTGATAGTAGCTATTTGCGACCGCTGCAAACTCAGCGAAGTAGATGGCAATGACACCTGTGAACTAAGGAGATCTGTTCTTGACGAAGCTGACATGGCTTGCGTTGCCTTCTGCAAAACGGTAGAATCAGCTAGCAACTGTGAACTGGGATAAGTCGCGCGTTGAGCCCTGCAAACTGGTAGACACGGTTCATGACTGCGAACTGATAGATGAAGTTCGCGATTGCGAACTGTGAGATGAAGTCCGGGAAGAAGCCAAACAACTAGATGGAGGTGCTGGCGACTGAGAAGAGACCTGCGCAAACAACGATGCCTGCAAACTAGGCGAAGACATTCGCGATTGCGAACTAGGAGGAGCGACAGACGACGAAACCTGAATTTCAGTTGGCCGATGGCATCTAGGAGGGCTCCTCGCTCGGCCTCTAGTTCTCCTGCGACGCTGTTTACGCAGATGATTTATCATCTCGTCCAACATCGTTTCCATCTTGGTGACATGGCATTTGACACCGCTATTGTCCATCTGTGCACATGTAACAATCCTCCTCCAGCGATCGTTGATGCTTTGATACAATGATAGGGGCTCCAAATTCGTAACAGTAAATTGATCACTATTATTGAGGTAAAGTGTAGAAACGAAGAACATACAGACGAGGCACTTCGAGAGGCCTCACTCTCCCAAGTTCCAATTTCCAAACCCAAAATCTGCCTACCTCTTATTCTACTCTCAACCCCTATTTATAATCATTCTCTCATGGGCCGGCCCAAAGCTAACTAGGACATGGCCCAAAACCCTTATTTATACAATATCACACTACTTAGTATAATGCTATTATTGTTGTTGTTGTTGTTGTTGTTATTATTATTATTATTATTATTATTATTATTATTATTATTATTATTATTATTATTATTGTTGTTGTTGTTGTTGTTGTTGTTGTTGTTGTTGTTATTATTATTATTGTTGTTGTTGTTGTTGTTGTTGTTATTGGCTGTCCAGGTCCTTATTATTTCACCTTATTTGTTTCGGACTTGACTTTCTAGCGAGTATATTACCTCCGTCCCATTGGACATCGCCAAGTATGTGTTAGGTGTGAAATAACCAGAACCATAGACTATTTACTTTAGAAGGATAGTGACAATGTTTTTTGGACAAACAAAAAAAGAAAGTTATAAAGTGTTTGGGACAAACAAAAATAAAGTTGACGAAGTCCAATGGGGCGGAGGGAGTATTTAGAAGTTCCACTTTGTCTATGTTTTTTCACCTCATCTTTGTTTCTTGTTTTTTTTATCCTTTTATCCTTATATATATAAACATTATTTTTATCCTTTTTATTTTATCATTTTTAGGTATATTCATATCTTTTTATATTATCTTTTTTATAATAGCTTATCTTTTTTATCTTTATTTTCTTTCTTTTCCCTTTGATGGTGATATCATGTATCGATTCATGTTAGCCGACCCCAATATCTTTTGGGACTAAGGCTTGGATGTTGTTGTTGTTGTTGTTGTACTTTGTCTATGTTTTTTCTTTTCTAGGTGTGAAACTTGAATTGGAATTTCTGAACTGCATTTATGTGTATAGGATGTGAGATAGAGGTCTTTTTACATGCAGATGTGTGGCAATGGAATTCGATGCTTTACCAAATTTATATGTGAGCTTGAGAATTTACATGGCAAGAAAAGGTAGGCTTTCATTATGCTTCTGTTATTGCTTTGTTTGGTACATGGTACAGTATGCTTTCTGTTTACTTCTCCCAATATCTCCATTATAAACTTGTTAGGACATTGTTAGATAGTTTGGGTTTGGCATTACAAAGTAATTTTTACTTTCATTTATTAAATTTTGCTGAATAGAAATCGGAAGTAATATCTAATAGCGTCCCTCATGCATGAGTTTAATGGCATTAAACTAAAGCACAAAAGTAACTTTTTCATATGAGCGACTTTTTGGTATTCTATTGCTCTCTTATTATTATCATTAATGTAGTTTCACTGTACACACGGGAGCTGGCTTAATCGTTCCTGAGATACAAGAAGATGGAAAGGTGATCTCTCCCTCCCTCCTTGATACTCTTTACTCAATGGATTGAGTTCTTGACATATTGTATTCTAGGTTAATTTTATTTGGTATAGAAAGGTTGACCCCTTTTTTGCATTTGTATGATACTTTCTATCATCATTCTATATTAGATATATATACTTATTCATGACAAGTTTCAGGTTAGGGTTGACATGGGTGAGCCAGTGCTGAAGGCATCAGATGTCCCCACAAAATTACCAGCAAACAAAGATCAATCTGTTGTTAAAGGAGGTCTGGTTGTGGATGGAAATACTTGGAATGTTACATGTGTTAGTATGGGAAATCCTCATTGTGTTACTTTTGGTACAGGAAGCAAGGTAGGTATACTCGCGTTGATCTGCGTGTTTTCTGATAAGTGGCGTAGTTATATTTTTTTTTTTTTTTTTTTTTTTTTTTAGGTTGACGTAGTTATATAATTCCAAGACTAAGGGTCTGTTTGGATTGGGGGGAAGTCTGTGGAGAGAATAGTCTATCTTGATAAGTAGTGTACTTCTAAAAACAAATACAAGGTGACCAAAGGGCTATAAGGTCGCATAGAGAATAGTCTATCTTTCGTTTTTTTTTTAAATTTCATATTAAAATCAAGATATATATTATAGACGAGGTGCCATTAGGCCTTTCCCTCCAAAACCCTCCACCCAAACAGAACCTAGGTTGACTAATATCCTATACATTTGTAGTATACTCAACCTTGCCTTTTAGATTGTGAGACATTGTGACCTCTAGTAGCTTGTGGTATACAATAACCATTTCTCGCTTTGGCCGGATCAGATCTGCTCATTTTGTAGTCCATATCTGGTTAATGTACTCAATTTATCTCTTTGATACACAAGGATTTGCAAGTGGACGAGATAAACTTGGCAGATATAGGCCCAAAGTTTGAAAATCATGTTATGTTTCCTGCACGAACTAACACTGGTAAGTTCAAGCCTCACTCAACGCACTGTTATTTTGTTCGTGTATGAGCTCATAGATATATAGCTTTATGTCTAGCTATAAGTTCTATGTAGTTAATTAACAAGTTTGTTTTAATTTCTGGTTGAAATTGGGGTTTTACCAACTGTGACACACACTGTTTGGGTTTTGCAGAATTTGTCCAAGTATTGTCTCCTGCACACCTTAAAATGCGTGTTTGGGAGCGCGGGGCAGGTAAGATATGTGCCGTGCATATCAATTCACAGAACTGTTTTTCTTTTTAAAAGTTAAAACTCTCTTAAATTAACACTTCTTGTGTGCTTGAATGGAAGGTGCAACCCTGGCTTGTGGAACGGGAGCTTGTGCAGTAGTTGTTGCTGCCGTGCTTGAGGGTCGTGCTTCAAGGGTAAGTTACCTAAGCTATTCCAATACTTGTATGTGTTTCCATTCATGGGGTATAAGAAAAATAGACAAATTAGATTTTCATTTTTGTACCTGGAGAGTCTGCCATGAAGTACACATACCCAATATGTTGGCTATTAATTATCTCACATTAATTGAATAGTTTTTCCCCTTAAATATTAAAACAATCCTCATAGAAAAAAATCTGCTTTTCTACTATTCTGAAGAAGATACTAAATATGTCACTTTTATTATGACACTATCAAAGACTGCCATCACCATTAATACAAGCACATGTAATTGTCAGTGTGAGTCTGTGACAGATCTGTTTTGAAGAATTGTATGGTGACTTTGTGGAATATTCTGGCGGTTAATGAGGGCACTGACAGTTGTGAGTTTGTGGTGATACAGAAAAAAGGAATGAAATCAGGGTTTGAGATAAAATGGTCCTATTTTGGTCATTTTGGATTTATCCAAAGCGGGCCTATTTTTTCTGTTAAAAGCCAGAGGTTTTATTTTTGTCATTTTTAGTAAATATAAACATACAATATAAATTGTAAACCAACATATAAGGCACGAATAAATCCTCATATGAGTTCATCTTTGTGGATGTAGCTCAAAGTTCTACTAGTTACTTCCTCTGTCCAAAAGATGTTTTTTGTCCGCGAAAGCCCACTCAAGAGTCTTTACTTTCATTTAGTCATATTCATGTTAATCAATCACTTGCAAAATTCTTCCAAATTAACTTTCATAAAACTTGAGAAGTGTTGCACATTACTGACATAGTTTTGTACTACGTATATGATTGTATTGCTATGTGTCTTTGGGTCTTCATTACTGCCTTACTGGTGGTTCTTCCTTGAAACAGAGGTGCACTGTAAATTTACCAGGCGGACCACTTGAGATAGAGTGGAAGGAGGATGACAACCATGTTTATATGACTGGCCCTGCACAAGTCGTCTTTTATGGATCTGTTCCTCTTTAAGCCCCCCACCCCACAGGCCTTAGGTGTATAATATACTTCATTCGAGAATCCTAATTTATTATCGCATGAACTTAAGCTTTCATAAATTTTCCAACTAATTTTCTTTACATGGTTTCTTGATGCAATGCTCAACAGTCTCAACTGCTATGAGAACATTAGAAGGGCATTTCTTCAGATACTGATGATGTTTGTAACTTTGTAACTTATCGTCATTGGGTGGTTTTTTTATGCCTTTTCCCTCCAACTACGTTTTTGAATGGAACTAGGACATGCGACTAAAAAATCAACACTACTATAACACTATTGGAGTTAAGACATAGTAATGTGGGATTATCTGGTTTGCATATTACCTCCTAGTTTGGTTTAGGACTTGCTAAGTCCGACTTAGTAATGTGGGATTATCTGGTTTGCTTCAAGTTTTGAGATGACCAAAGTAATCTCATACTACTGTCACATAGTAAATTGAGGTAATGCAATTACATTGGAGCTTAAGCATCATGAGATTACATTGGTTTTTACTTTTTAATTTTATCCTCTTCCATGACTTGGCAATTTTTTTCCTTAGCGGGGACCACGGTCTGTAACATTTCATATTCTACATTTAGATCAGGAAGTGTTGTATTAGGTTTAAAACAGATTAACATTATATTCTTAGCAAGTAACTAAAGTACTAAACATGTGATTTTACATTCATGTAATGACAAAAATATCCAAGTAATCTTAGGTTCTCGTAATCTCGCATTACTCTCAGGAGATAACTCTCGGGAGGCAATCTCATTAATCAAGATAGTCTTACACTTCATGAACCAAACTCTCCTTAAGGGTTTGTTTGGATAATGGAAAATGCCATGGAAAAATGGAAATGAAAAAAAATGATTCTTACATAAAATAGATATTCAAGACTCTGACTCTATCTTTTAAATGATGATTTTAAACACGTCTAAAATAAATTACTGAGTTTCATTCATCTTTTATACCCCACATATCTTCCCTTCCATGGAAAAATGGATATATTTGTATGTATTAAATGATGAATAAGTCTAAACTAACATGATTTTAAACACGTCTAAAATAAATAACTTGAGTTTCATTCATCTTTTATACCCCACATATCTTCCCTTCCATGTTGTTCTCTTTAACTCCTTCCCGTATTTCGCTTCCCTAGTTTTTTTCCTAGTTTCAAATACATCCTAAGAACAAATTAGCAATTTCGCTTCCCGTATTATCTCTGTGAGCAAATTCCTACGATAATGATGAAATAGACATTGATAATATGATTTACATTTTGACATCTAGTTGAGATAATATATATTTGATTATTTTCCCATCTAACAGTGCAAAATAGTGAATATCTGGAAGAAGAAACTGGTCAAAAGAGACAATTCTAAATGTGTCCAAATTTCGTGAAAATTTGTATCATTGTATGAAATGGATTTTGAATAGCGCTTGGTAACATAGAAAAGCATGTTCAACAGTAATGTATAAAGTATTCCCGTTCACAATAATGGGAATGCTTGGGGAGTGTTGGCTAAAGATTAAAATAAGTGCTTTTAAACTTTTGGTTTAAAAAAAAGCTGAAATGAGTGTTTTCAAATTACAGCTTCTACTTAAATTAATCACTTAAAAGCTAAAAGCTGAAAGCAGATTGAGAGGTGCTTTAAACAGCTTTTTACTTTTTCTATTACACAAAAAACACTTATTCTACCAAACACTACCAACTTTTACTTTTTCATAATCGTTTCTTTAAACACTACCAACATTTACTATTAAACACTTTTCTCAAAATCATTTTAAAAAATCACTTTTTTTAACTAGAAGCAATCGTAAGCACTCCTTTAGGCTTTGTTTGCAAACAATTAATGTAAGTGCTTTTGGCTTTTTTTAAAGAAAAAAACACTTATTTTACCAAACAATATTAACTTTTACTTTCTCGGTTTTCGTATAGAATCTACTTTTTACTTTTTCTATTACACAAAAAACACTTATTTTACCAAACACTGCCAACTTTTACTACTAATCATTTTTTCTCAAAAGTACTTTTATTTAAGCACAATCACTTGCAAACAGAGCCTTAGTGTTCTCATTCGGTGGCAATGCCAAATCCCTTACGTGGGGCAACTTTTATCAAAAGAAGCCTGCCTACTTCAAAAATTCCAGTCCGCAATCCATGGATGCAATAGAAATCTCAATCATGAATGACAAATCTTCATGTCAGGCCGGCCTGACGGGATGCTCCGTCCGGCCGAGCCCGTTTGGGCACCTTCCCGGTGGAATTTTTTGATGAAATTATTTGAGCATGTTCTTCATCAAGTCTAGTTTGTCCATACCAAATTTCAGCTCAAAATTCGATCGGGAAGGCATTCAAAATAATTTTTTGAAGTTGACTGCAGTTTTATATGTATACTTTGACACAGTCAACTTCAAAAAATGATTTGAATGCCTTACCGATCGAATTTTGAGCTGAAATTTGGTATGGACAAACTAGACTTGATGAGGAACATGCTCAAAAAAATTCATGAAAAAAGTCCACCGGGAAGATGCCTAAACGGGTTCGGCCGGACGGAGCATCCCGTCAGGCCGGCCTGACAAGAAGACCACTCATGATGAATAACCTATATATGGCATGCATATATCTAAATGAGCGTTGCCCAAAAACAAAACAATCATTTAGAACATCATGGCTGACCTTGAAAACTGTCCAACAATTGCGGGAATAGACCCTCGGTGGCTCGGTACAGTCATTGCACTCCAATTTCGGGGATCTTTGAAATGATTTGGGGAAATGTAAGGCTGGATTGTACTCGTCTGATAAGAGAGAATTCCCATAGGAGTAAAAAAGTTTTGAAATTCCAAAATAGGAGTATCATGTTTTTATTCCCTAAATAGGAGTAAATTTCTGCCAAGTTTCGAAATTACAAGGCTTTAAACATGGCATTTTTTTCCAAACTTGGCAGATTACTCCTATTTAGGGAATAAAAAACATGATACTCCTATTTTGGAATTTCAAAACGTTTTTACTCCTATTTAGGGTAATTTCTGTAAATCATTATACAGATTGACTTGGTTTATTGTTTTTAGAGGCAGCTATGTAACAAGATAATACAACATTGTCACCTTTTGTGCGTCATTTTCCAATCAAGAATACTTCGTACTTTTTTATTTTTTCCCAATTTGATTAATATACATCGGAGCTAGCTAGTCAAAACTCCAATACACATTATGCGAAGAGAATTAAATTAGGTAGAGTGTATGAGGCTTCTCCGTACACAGTGTACGTGGAATGAATATAGGGAATATACAAGTATATTTTTGGTACATTTGGTTCCAGGGACGGATTTAAGGGGGCGGGGGCAACCGCCCCCCTTGGACTTTCAAAAATTTCTATAATATATATAGTATTTTCATAAAATTTTTATACTTTAATTATATATTCATGTGTTCTCCCCCCTTACCTTTTGATTTTTAAAACTAATATTTAGCCTTACATAATGTAATGCATAATTGAAAATTTAAAAGAAGAAACATCTAACATAATTTACATAACTTAAGCAAATAAAAATGGAACAACTCATTTTTTAAGACTTATGGTACTTTTTATATAAACAATCCTAGTTTTGTAATATTTAATTATCTTTATTAGATAGTTAGTACCCGACTTTATAAAATATCAAACGATACTAAATACGACACACTAGTTAAACAGTATGTAAATCATGTGAATTGAATCCAAAATATAGGTGCTTGTTGACATTAAATTAAATAATACTATTCATTTACTAGTTTCTTACTTTTTAAAAATAATGTATTGCATAGATGATAAACTTTAATTTTTTTAGCAATATAATACGTAGTATTATTTTAAAAATAATGTATTGCATAGATTAATTATTGGAAAAATTGAAAATAATAATCTCAACTATTGTCGGTCCACTGAAAATAATCTCAACTATTGATTATTTTTGTATAATCCCAACTATATAGACTATCCGCCAATAATGGTCCATGACCATATATTACCTCTATAAAAAGTGAATTTTAAATAGAAATTAAGCGTAAAAATTAAAAGTTGAGATTATTTAGAGGGATTACTTGTTATATCTCACCCCATCCACTTTAGATACTACAAGAATTTATTCATAGGGACCATTATTGGCGGAAGGTCCCTAAAGTTGGGATTATTCTGTAATAATCAATAGTTGGGATTATTATGAGCGGACCGCCAATAGTTGGGATTATTACTATCAATTTTTCCTAGATTATATTGCACCATATATATGAATTAGCAATATAATACTTAGTATTATTTTAAAAATAATAATCTCATACATATTAGTATATTAAGAAAACTCTTTGTGACTCACGAACACCCTCCTTGGTAGACAAAAATTGCAATTCAAAACCAAATCTTTATTCCGATAAGGTTTATGTGGTTAAACAAGGCAGGAGTTATTTAAAAAGTATTGGTCGATGCATGTGTACCTTTTAAACTTGTTGTCTTCAAATAATTTGATAAAATGTTATATATCCCTTCTTATTTTCAAATATTTTTTCTTTGAGCTTTTCCATTTCTTACACTTCAATATATGTATCCGTACTTTTGCTAGAGCTTAAAATCAAAGTTATCTTTCAATTGTCTAGATTTAGAATGTACTATAATAGATTTAAAGCTTAAGAATGTCATTATGTATGTATTAATGGAATTTTTTGGAATAAAAACTAGCCGCATAGCCCTACAATATCGAAAAAATTTCGCCCACTACATTAGCGAAAATATTTTCACCCCGACACCAACGGAAAGAATTCACTCCCTTGACGCAAAATCCTGGATCCGTCCCTGATTGGATCCACGATTCCACGAACAATTGTTGAATATAGTTTTATTATCATAGAATAGAGATCTAATAGTATTGGCCTATTGGGTAATTGACTAGTGCCAAAATAAATAGATACTCCGTATGTATTTGCGTATTTGGTACTCCGTATCCAACAATTTGACGTGAAGCGAAGCAAACTTTTATGTTCGTGTATTTGTCATTTTTATCATACTTCGTATTAACACAAATACTCTGTATTATTAAGTATGCATGAAACATAATCGTTTTCGTTTATATTATTATATAAGTACAGTATCAGTGCATGTTGTATTGCGTTCGTTGTACTATAAAATTAAACATAATCATAATCACAATGACCTAATAAAATATAATAATCATAAATTCATAATCACAATGACCTAATAAAATATAGGGAAATTTTCGCAAACATGCTAAAAGTGAAAACAATATCACATTTTTCAGTATCTAAAGTTTTTTTTCAAAATTAGACAAC